GGAGGAGCTGCAGGCTTTCACCTCCCAAAAGGAAATTCTTCTTAGCTTAGACAGATGTGGTATTCAGGATGTACATTAGTTGAGAAAAAAGTTGATTGGAAATTCAATGGAAGATAAGCACTCTTGGAGAGTTTCATTTTGTAGACTTGCCCTAAGGTGATATTTAAAGAGAGAAGGGGGCCAGTGTGTCTTAACTTCTTAAAAACTGATTCTTGTAAGACCTTGCTCCACTTTCCAGAAAGGCTCTTGCCATCTGATGTTGAGTGGGATTTTTGCCTCAAACCTGGAGGTGATTGGCAAGTCCTTGGGTGGGCCTGGAGCCTCCTTAGGGCGCAGCAAAAGTCAGCCGTTTTCCCCCAGGTGACCAACCCACCTTCTCCTCTACACGAGAGTGTCCATTCAGCATAAAAGGTATGAAGGTCCCACAGACTGAGCCTGAGTCCTTCACCTGGACATCAGACTCTACTGGCTGTACACTACCTCTGTGAGCGCTATCAGCCTGCTTTGTCCCGGACAGGAAAAAATAGGCGCCCAGAACAAGGGGGAAAGTAGGGGAGGAGTAGGAGGGTAGGAGGGAAGGAGAGAGATGGGGGGAGAGAGAGTGGGGGAGGAGGGGGAGAGAGAGAGAGAGAGAGAGAGAGAGAGAGAGAGAGAGAGAGAGAGAGAGAAAAGAAAGAAGAAGAAGAAGAAGAAGAAGAAGAAGAAGAAGAAGAAGAAGAAGAAGAAGAAGAAGAAGAAGAAGAAAGAGGAGGAGGAGGGAGATTTAAAGAATGAAAAACAAGTTCAGGTACAGATAGAATAACAGAGTTTCCTCTTTGAGTTGGGAAAAAAAAGAATGAAATAGACACATAAGAGACAGAGCATAACACCTCAGAATACATGGAAGAAAAGAAAAGAGAAGAGAAGAGAAGAGAAGAAGAGAGGAGAGAAGAGAAGAAGAGAGGAGAAAAGAAGATGGGGGTCACAGACGGGAAAGCTCAGAATGGTGGGGAACAGAGCTGGGGTGTATGTGTTTGGAGGTGTTGTCTTCTGCCTTTCCCTCTGTGTTCCCCCGACCTCGGGACAATATGGAGATGGCATTTTCAGAGCTGCACGCGGCCGGCGGCGTTTCTAGCTCTGGGTCGCAGCTGGCCCTGTTTGTCCAGGTGTGGGAGGGGGCGGCGGTCCTACAGCGTCTTGGGCCAGGCCAGCATTTTTCGCACCAAGGAAGCTGGAGCCTCTGTTCGCGCGCTCCAACCTTCCAGGAGAACCACCCCTCCTTCCATACATAAATACATTAGGACTACAGACAAATCCTCATTGTTCAGAAATAAGCCGGGGAGGCCGGCCGGCTCCCCTCAGCCAGGCAGAGGGAGGCAGAGAGGTTGGGAGGGAGGGAGGCGGGGGCCGCGCGGATCCGGTGTCACGTTGCAGATTCCCACTAAAGATAACGAAACGTGATCTATTTTTCAGAACAGCAAGTGGATGGGAAAGAACCTTGACAACACAAAACTCATTTACTAATGGACTGGTTTTGAGTTTCTCTTCTCTGGGTCCGCAAATCGCCCTCCCTCAGACCTCGGCCTATTCAGACATCGCGGGGACCGGCGTCCCCCAGAAGGCAGGTGGGCGGCTGCTCCGGCGCCGCCGCGCTGGCCATCTGAGCCTGGGTTCCGAAGGGTCGAGGGCACCCAGAGTTTCTGACTAAGCATAAAAAAAAAAAAGAGGAATGTTGTCACTTCAACTCGGACTTGGGAATCTCCGCACTGCCCCAGAGCGATGACAGTAATTTATTGGAGAACACCTCGCGCTGCCCTTCCCTTCTAAGTGTCTGTAGGTAGAGTAGGATCCCTAGTGTTGTTCTTGATGGTGAAGGAATTCCGAAAAAGCGGGTTAGGAGCCCAAAACCAACTTGCTTCAAGTGATGGGTCCCAGCTAAAGGTTTTTGAACCAAGGCCTTAGGTTAACTCAGCCCCCATCAGCTCCTAAAGTTTTCGTATTGGCCTTTTGGGCCACCAGCGCTATGCACCCGGGCATTATCTGACCAGCGTAGGCACAGAGCAGCCGAAAGCAGACGTCGGGCGCCCGCGCTGCCCTGCGCTACTCTAGGGAACCGCGGTACTGGCAGGGCAGCCGCCGGCGGGCTGGAATTGCTCGTTCTCTTTAAATCTCCTACGCATCTCTGTTTTTCATGCGTTTTGCATTGACAGCAAAGGTTTTATGTTACAGAACGACTCAAACCTTTCTGTGCGCGATTTAAAATGGATCATTTGGTTTATGTGGTTTGTAAATTCATGTCATTTTACCTCTTTTAGTGGTTTTCAGTGAAAGGTTCCATTTTGGGAAGCTTTATATATCCGGGCCAATAATTAACATTTATAACAAATGGTTCCCTTAACCAGGGATCGAAATAGCAGGTAGGTTCCTTGGTACAAAGCACAAGCACTTTTTTTTTCTAGTTATGCGATCTATTGGATTAAATGGCATAAAAAGGTTGGCAGGTCCTGGCACTGGCCCCCAGGAAAGCACCTCTCTCATTTGCTTTGGTGTCTTCAATCACAGCACCCACACGATCTCTTCCCAGTTATCGCCAAAGTCTAGTACGTCCTGGTTCTTTTTAGAGACAAATGGAAAGTAATGGGATGGAGAGGTCTGGAGGACTCTGGGGGTGGCAGGGAGAGGAAGGTGGTCGTCTAATTGGTGTCTAATTGTCATTTCTCTGCTCCCTGTTATCCTCTGTGAATTCATACCTTCCCTTATTTGTCCAAGCTAAGCTTTATTTCCCTATATGAAACTGTTAATTACCAAGTACTCGAGGTACTCAACATATTGTTTATCTTTTAAGGGTTGTGGCTATGCTTACAGACCCTCTCCCCCTATTTTAGTTGTGCATACTTGCTCCAGATTTTACGGTTACTAACTGATTTTTAGAGCCCTTTTAAGCCCCCATTCCGGTCCTCACACAGCTGCCATGTCAATAAGAACTGTTCCAAGCAGAGACATTCCTTTTGGCAGGACACTGCAGTTCCTTAAGACTTCATCTGAAACGCCATGAGCACTAAAATAAGACAGTGAGGGAAAATTACCAGACACATGGCCTTGGGCTCAGCAGTGCCAAGCTTCTAGTTTAGAAAGTAAGTCATTGGGTACACCATGTGGCAGGGGCGCTTTTGAAATAATACACACCCATTAAATGCATTTTAAAAGAATAAGCCTAAATGTAATGAAGTATCAACATCTGCTTCCAAGGTCTAATTGCATGGGATACACAGAGTTTCAAGGAGGCAGAAAGCATTGTGTGGAAGTTCGGCAGAGCAACAGCTTCCTGTCTATTTGGAATCTCCGGAGAGCAACCCTGAGGTGGGGACCCTTTATGAATTTGAAAAGTACCTTGCAGGCTGCATCAGACTGGGTGCATTATTTTAAAACTATATAAGTAATAAAAGGGGAAACCCTTCTCCCACTTACATCTCAACATGCAAAAGGTTCTGTGGGATGGGCTTCTTGGCTGATGGATTCAAAACAAAGAAGACAGACAAGTTTAGAGAACTGAAGTTTGTTCTTCACAAGTCACTAAGGGGGCACATTGAAATCAAAAGCATTTTTGAAGTATACTTAAAATTCTGTTTTCAACTTATCTAATCAGAGATAAGTATAGTCATAAAGTCACTCTTCTTCCACCATTTGGCTTCCCTTATCTCTAAACATTGTTCTTATCTCCTGCCAGTCTCAGCTACTGACAATAGATTATCTTTGTTTAGAGTGGCTAATTGTTTTCAAAATCTTTTTCAATAATTGCTTTGGAACAAGGTGTGCAAATGAGGCTTAAGATAATTGCAGCTTCATTTGTGCAGTTTTACGAAGCGTTCTCCACAACAAACAAAACAATAGACGATGATACTTAAATTGCAGGACATCTCTCACCCCTAGCAGCAAAATAGGCCAGCATTGCTATTTACACACACACACACACACACACACACACTCACACACCTCTTTATTTAGTCTTCTTGGAACCACTGTCGTCCTAGCTTTGAGGGCAATGTCCCTCTCAGAGCAGGGCAAGGATTATGTTACAACCGGACGGTTATTGGAGCCTGGCACAGTTTTATTCAATTTACACCCCATCCAAGCGCCTTTCCTAGGAGGCTACCAGAGCATTTTTGGAATGGCAAAGTAAAGCTTCTCGGAATTCCTTAGGAACAAGAGGTGGCATTAGAAAACATAACTGTGGAGACAGGGAAACAGTCCAAAAAGCCTGTTGACTTAAACCATAGGAACGTTAAGATATCCAATCGCAAATGAATCCTGTGCCATTATCTGCTCAGCCACTATGCTCGAAACAGCTTTTCACCTGATCCCGCATTGTGGTGGCCCTTTGAGAATGAGGGAATTGCTGTCCAGCTCAAAGTACTTAAGCCTTTTGGAGGGTGCTGGAGGTTGGGGAGGGAGAAAGGGAGGAGGAAATTATACTGGCTCTTGAAGCTGCAGTCAACCCAGAGAGAAGTCACTCTCCCACAGCCTGCAGCCCCAGTCCTGGTCTACTCTTGTATTATTTATTGCATTCCATAAGCTATTCATCAATCTATTATTTATTCATTCCAGCATTAAGGTAATTAAATATGAGCTCACCGGGAAAGGGCAACTCTGCGAGGGGTCAGGGACAAGAGTACTGAGGGAGAGCAGGGGAACTGGAATGTCTAAAGGCATTGATTTGTGCAGAGATGCGCGTGTCTCCCCTTAAGGTGACACTTAAGAGTGGGCCAGTAGCTCACACACAACCCCTCCCCGCCTGGCACAGAGGTTGCCTCCCCTCGCCCCCACCTTGCTTCCCACCTCTCCCAGTCCTTCTCCTCCCACCTCTCCCTACCCCCAGCTCCGCAGCTTAGCCCTCCCCACGCGGGGCGGTGTGGCTTTGCTGCCGGGCCGGGCGGTGCGCGGGCTGGCCAGCCTCGGATAGGCGCCGCCCACAGCCAATCAGCGTGCTGGGGACGCTGCGCGCTTTAAGGCCGCTGCGGGGAGAACAGAAACCAAGTTCCCCGGCAACGAGCAGCATCCACCCGGCGGCCGGCCGGAGCCAGCGAGACCCGAAAGGCTGCGGAGTGCGCCGGCCGCTCGGTGCCCAGGGCGCCCCCGACTCCTCCTTCTCTTCCTTTTCCTTTGCCGCCCATCCCCAAGTTCCAACTTCCTTTTTGGCCTTACGCAAAGCCTAGGGAGGGGGTTAGGAGCAGCCGCGCCCCCCCTCCCCGCGGCTGCCGCCCTCTGCTTTTTCGGTTCTGCTCCCTGCGGTGTGCGCCCGGGCTGTGCGCCCCGGCAGGCCCCAGCCATGTCCATGCTGCCGTCGTTTGGTTTTACGCAGGAGCAAGTGGCGTGCGTGTGCGAGGTTCTGCAGCAAGGCGGGAACCTGGAACGCCTGGGCAGGTTCTTGTGGTCGCTGCCGGCCTGCGACCACCTGCACAAGAACGAGAGCGTGCTCAAGGCCAAGGCGGTGGTCGCCTTCCACCGTGGCAACTTCCGCGAGCTCTACAAGATCCTGGAAAGCCACCAGTTCTCGCCTCACAACCACCCCAAACTGCAGCAACTGTGGCTGAAAGCGCACTACGTGGAGGCCGAGAAGCTTCGCGGCCGACCCCTGGGCGCCGTGGGCAAATATCGGGTGCGCCGAAAATTCCCGCTGCCGCGCACCATCTGGGACGGCGAAGAGACCAGTTACTGTTTCAAGGAGAAGTCGCGGGGCGTGCTGCGGGAGTGGTACGCACACAACCCCTACCCCTCGCCGCGTGAGAAGCGGGAGCTGGCCGAGGCCACTGGCCTCACCACCACCCAGGTCAGCAACTGGTTTAAGAACCGGAGGCAAAGAGACCGAGCCGCCGAGGCCAAGGAAAGGTACGCGGCGTGCATCGCGAGGCTCGGGAGACCCCGGGAAGTCTTCCTTTCCCCTCCACCCCTTTCCGCCCCTGCTGGCATCCGCCACCAAGTTCTCCCCGCAGCCGGGAGCCGGTCCGCGGGGCGGCGCCCCGGCCTCCGCGGCATTGCAGCAAAAGTTCATGAACTCTGAGGTTGCCTGCTGCTAGGGATGGGGCCTCGTTTGCTCTGAGCCCCCGCGCGTGGGTTTCTTTGGGCTATGAGTGTCGGGAAATATTGGCGCTCGGTTTGTTTTTCACGTCTCCCTCGCTGGCTGCGGCGAGGAGTGGGGGTGGTGGTGGAGAGTGTTTTGTCGATGATCGGGAAGGGAAACGCTGATGGCTATCGCGACGAAAGCGGTTCGGTGGGGCTGAGGGTCGCGAAGCTCCCTCCTCTCGCTCCCGGGGAAGCTGGCCTGAGACGCCCGCTCTGTCCCCACTCCCGCCCCGTTCTTCACTCTCTGTCTCTTGGCAGTCTTTGGATGAGGGTTTGCCTGCCTCTTTCCGCACTGGCTGGACAAAAGAAGGAGTCTTAAAAAGAAATACACAGAAAAGAGAGCTTTTTTCTGGAGGGGCAGGGTGGCGCTGCCTTGACCCCGGCTCCCCAAGCCCAGAAAGGACTGCTTCCCGTCGTCTCCTAGCGCATGGCCCGCGCGCCGCAGCCTGTCCTTTTGGCTGTCTGCGCCGGCACCCTGGGCGACGAAAGGGGCTGCAGTCGCCGACTTCTTTCGCGTTGGAGCTCAGAAGCCGATTTTTTTTTTTTTTTAAACCCTTCTCTGCTTTCTCCCTCCTGGCGCAAACACCCTCAGCTTCCTGGCTGTGTTCCATCCGTTCGCTGTAGAGTTTTGACCGAGTTTTAGAAAAGCGCCCGGGAGGCGGCGGTGCGGAGAGAGCGCTCCACAAGCCGAGGAGTTCGGAGAAACCTGGGCGCAGCGGCCAGCTAGGTTTCCTTTGTTCGCTTCCAGCCAGGGGGCAGAAGATCGGGCTTGTTCGGTCCTCTGTGGGTAGAATATCACAGAGCCTGGAACAGATCCGCTGAAATCGGCTCTTCGGGGAGCCGGACTGTGCGGCAAGGGGAGAGAAAGGGGGAGACAGGCGGGCTCTAAGGCGTGGGAAGGACCGGGAGCGCTCAGAAGGTGGAAGCGGCTAGGGCAGCGAACTCCTGAAGTTAATGAACACCTAGAGCCGCGACTGACGTTCCGGCGCGGGGTGCGGGTTCGCAGCCTGTGCAGAGTGGCAAAGTTTTCCCTGCTGGGGAAAAGTGGGTTGGAGTGGATGTTGGCAGAAAGTTTGAGAGGGGGCCGTGAGGGGCTGAGGAATGAGCAAGTGACACTGAAACAGGGATTGTAGGTTCTCGTTAGCCTTTAGTTAAAAAATGGCCAGTCCTTATAAGCCAGGCCTGAGGGCTCACTCCCTGATGAAATTGGAGAGACTGGCTGAGCTCCCTGTGTTTACTCAGGTCACTGGGCCGCTCTGGGCACCACTTCCCATGACCTGTCCTGGGTCTCTGAAACCACAATTTCTGGGCAGGGGCAGAGAAACTCGTGGTCTGATTGTTTCCTCAGATGGAAACAGGCAATTGACTTGATTCACCCCAAACATTTGTGCATTGGGCACTATGTTTGTCCCTTGATCTCTTCTTTATCACCAACAACCATTTGTTAGAAGACTTTCAAACAGCTAACTTCGAAATATGGTGCTAGTTGATAGGCATTTGAACATAACAGCTTGAACAAAATTAAAAACATTTTTTGTTTCAAATAAACCCTGCTCTTCTGACTTTCTGAAATCTGGAAAGAGAAAGGAACTTAGCTCCCAGAGGCAGGCTGTGTCCTTAGCTTCCCATTTCTCCAGTCTGCTCACCCTTCTCACCTCCCCCATGACCCTTGGGGACGGGTGGGAGGGCAGAGCTCCTCCATTTGGGTTGGTGACAGATTGCACAATGGCCCTTTCCTCCTTCCAGCTCCCTTCCCCTCCCTTCACCTCACACTTTTTTTAACCTACTTTTTTTTTTTTTAACCATATGGTGTTGTCCTCTATTTCTTAGGGAGAACACTGAAAACAATAACTCCTCCTCCAACAAGCAGAATCAACTCTCTCCTCTGGAAGGGGGCAAGCCACTCATGTCCAGCTCAGAAGAGGAATTCTCACCTCCCCAAAGTCCAGACCAGAACTCCGTTCTTCTGCTGCAGGGCAATATGGCTCACGCCAGGAGCTCAAACTATTCTCTCCCAGGCCTAACTGCCTCACAGCCCAGCCATGGCCTGCAGGCCCACCAGCATCAGCTCCAGGACTCTCTCCTCGGTCCCCTCACCTCCAGTCTGGTGGACTTGGGTTCCTAAGTGGGGAAGGACTGGGTCTTGAAGGGATGGTTGGATCAGCAATCTACTGCAGCATCTAGGGACACTTGTAAATAGAAATCAGGAACAAATTTGCGGCTTGTTTCTGGGGTTCTCCTCACATAAAGGAATGGTGGACTTTCACGAATATCTTTTTAAAAATCAAAACCAACAGTGATCTCAAGCATAGTCTCCCTCTTTTCTCCAATTCTTTCCACTTTTCCATTTCCTCTCCCAATGAAGAGATCGGGGAAAAAAAAAAACCCAAACAAACAAAAGCACCGAGACTCAGCGGTTCTGGGCAACCCAGGCACCCGCTTCAAGAGCATTTTTTTTTTTTTTTTTTTTTTAGTGAATAAGAATTACCAGTCAACTGGATTTTAATTATGCTTTTTAACTTATTTATGGAGAAGAGGAAAAGGAAATGAAGAGAGAGAGAGAAAGATCAAAATAGTAGTGAAAATAAGAGCCTCCAGTCTGGGAGGAACTGGTTGCATTCTTAAAATGAGTAGGAAAAATAATCTCAAAACCTTTTTGATGGGAAAATTAAGTTTACATTTTCATATTTAGTGTTAAATAATTTTATGTAGATTAAAATAAAAGAACAGTATTAGGGAAAAAAAAAAACAAGTGCCTAAATGTCTTAATGCTCTGTATGTGAGGCAGTTAGAAATAGAAGTGACCATTAGTAATACACTATTTTTGTCAAATTTTGTGGGGGGTTTTGGTGGTTGTTTGTTTCTTGGGTTTTTTTTTTTTTAATGACAAGCTCTAAAAATGTACTAACATGGGAAAACAAAACACCACTTTCCTGAATGCCATTACTTCTGATGTCCTCAGAGCTTTCGTCTCTGTAGGCTACTCCTTCTAAGGGGTTTCTCCTCTTAGTTTCTAGCTTGCAAAAGGATGCAGACACCTCCGGCAACCTGGTATTTGTTATTAAAACAACGTGTGTTTTCAGTTTCTTTTCTATTGTATCTAAACCAGTCTAAATTAAAACTCAGTAGAACACCAGGAGTATGATTCTGTTTCTGAGAGAGGTGAGTTGTGGATTGCTGTCATTGGGCCCTATTTTTTTTTTTTAAGTTTTCTTGCTTTCTTAATAATGGTTATGAATTGCAGGGTACTTTGAAAGCTATCACCTGAAACAAAAGTAGTGATTAGATTAATGATATAACAGAAAGAAAGGGAATTTAGCTTTGGGGTATTTATTTTTTTTATTATTTAGTGATGTAGTTTTGTTTACCATTAGCTCCTCTCCACAGCATTCATATGTTAACTCAGCTCTTTTGTTAACGTTTATGACTGTGAAAGTAAAAGTAATTTATCTGCTTGAAAAAAAAGGGAACTCGAACAAGGATTTAAACATTATGAATTAATCTGTACAAATAGAAAGCAGGCCAGCAGTACAGGAGCTCTTTTGCAATGCTGCCGGATAGTGTACAGAAATGTCTCAGTAATCATGTAGGCTCCATGTTATTTTTGCCTGAGGCAAAATGATGTATCTTCTGTATTTAGCTTTTAAAATTAGTGAAATGAATATCATTATTTATTAAAATTCTACTCAGGATAACCAGGATTGACTTGCTTGCTTGTGCTTTGTAAAATATTGTTCCCCAGGGAGAGTCTATTTATTTTCTGACATGACAGTTTCATAATTTTGATTTTTCCCCATCCATAAGTGTCACCACTAATATGTTCATTTTCTTATCTCTTCTTACTGTTTCTGTCCTGATTTAGGAGAGTGAAGTGTATATGAGAAATTAAGGCCTTCTTACACTGAAGTTTTTCTTAACTGTTCAATTGTTTTGAATTCAAGGGAGAAATGGTCACTGTACCATAAGTGTAGTCAATTTTACTTATAAAGTCATTTTTCCCCTTACTGATGGACAGATGTGCACACAGCAGCCCAGAGACCAGGATTTGGGTTGGACGCTCAGGGTCCCAATCTCCCTTGTTAGTGTTTTGGATCATTAAGTTGGTGTTTATTTAAGTCACTAGGGTGTTTATTCTCCACGTCTTGGGCCACGGAGAAATGCCACCCTCTGCAGGAGGGGATCTCACAGGGAATCTCCTCACATTCTTCACATTCACTCCCCAAAACAAACACCGTGCACAAAGATAGCTTTCAATGACCCTGACAGGCTTCAAAAGACACCGCGGAAATCTCTCGAAAATAAGGAAGGGCCAATTACTTTAATTTCTTACATGCCCTCTCTTCCTACTCCGGCGACTAACCCCCACTCTTTCAGCTCCTCTTGGCATAATTTTAGATTTGTGGAAGTTCTGTCTCCCTGGGCGCAACCGGCCCACTTTCTGCTCCATTGGCTGGTGAAATCTTGGAAACGTGTGCAGATCTGGCGAGGAGCAAAGAGGGCCGGTCCTGTAAAAGCCCCCGTGATTACTGCTTGTAAACTCGTTAAAAGGACAATTTTCTGTCACAGCCATAAACTCTTTGTAAAATCTCTGGCACTCGATCCAGAACGCGCATATTCCAGATGTGTTTAATAAGAAATTGCACAATAAGACTCTTTCCGCCATCCTTAGCTCAGTCTGGCTAAGACAGGGACAAGCAAGAGGAGGCGAGAAAGCTGGATATTGCTCTAAGTTTTCTTGGCAATCATTTTAGAGCGATCATTAGGGGGAACTAACCATATTTTTTTTTCCCTCGAGGAAATCTTCAAGAACCAGCTGTTAAGGGACCTTCAATTTACCTTTTCGGCGTCAAAGTCTAACTGAATCAAGAGCCACTTTTCGTTTCTCCTTACAGATTTATAATGATAGCCAAAAGTAATGAATAACGCCTTATAAATAAAGTTTTTTTTAGGATGAGACCTTACTGCATTTTGCCAAGGGAGATGAAAACCCAAATACTCGCGTGATTTTTTTTTTAAATGTCTTAGGTCTCAACAGAAGATTGTCGGGTCTCGGCTGCCTGTTCGCCTTGACCTTTGGTTGAGAACGAAGGAACGAACGAAGCTTCCTAAATTCTCAGAGGCCACGGGGGCCTGGCCGGCAGTTTTCGAGTTTTTGGTTTAGCAGGTGGTGGTGGGGAATCAAGAACCCCATAAACTACGAGCAGGAAGAAAGGCACCTTCTGGCTGGGCCCGCGCACCGCCGGTCTTGAACTTATTCTCTGGGCAAGGACAGCTTGGTCTTGACCCCGAGCTGGAGTGGAAGCTTCCAGGAAGAGGCAGTGGGACTGCGCTTATGGGCGAACTCTGAGTTTGCTGAGCGTGGGCCCTAGTTCAGCCGCTTAAACCCGCGCGCTGCAGGCCAGCGCAGCGTCTGGCACCGAACCCGCGCCCAGCCGCGTTTCTTGTGCTCGGGGCGCTGTGTGCAGTCGGCAGGAGGAGCTTCGCTCGCTACCGCCTGGCCACACTCCTGGAGGTCTTTGGCAAAGCCTGCAGGCGGACTCCAGTTGGCGATCCAGAGCTCGCGCCCCGCGCTTCGGCTGCAGAGAATTGGGGGTGCGTCTGTCACTCGCACACTCCAGGCGAAGGCCGTTCTTGCCACTCTGCCTTCCGGAGGCGCTGGCAGTCTGGGTGCCACTGCTCTCTCCGTGGGCGCGGGACACAGCCTCTTCTGCACTGGTTCCGAGGGAAGCGTATACACCTCAGGTCGTGGATCACAGCGCAGTTCCACGTGCCGGGTCTGGTGGCCTGGCCTGCGGAGTCCGTGAGAGCCGAGGCTGCCAGGCTGGCCTCAAGGGAGAAGGTCATGGCCTCAGCTTGGCGGGGGCAACGCAGTTGTCGTCTTGAGCGTCCCAGGGCCATCTCCCAGACCCAAGCCTCTGTCGCCCTCTTCGAGGCAGGGAGCTAAGTTTCAAGCGAGGCGTGGGAGCCGCCCGGGACGCGCTACTGCGGGGTGGGACCAGGCGGTGAAGTGGCGGGATAAAACCTTCCTTAGCAGTGCGCGGCTCCCCGAGCCCCGCCGCAGGTGCGGTCGCACCGTGGACCTCAGCAACGAGCTTCGGGCCCAGGGCGGCCCGCTCAGCCTTGGAGTCTGGTCCCCAGGCGGCCTAGGCCCTGCCGTCCATTCGCTCGCTGCATTCTCTGCTCGGTACCGACCGTCTCCTTCACTTCCTGGGATCTCGGCTTGGGACCTGAACTCTTCACCCGCAGGTTTGGTGGAGGGCTGCCATCCCAGAAAAGCCCCCCCTTCCGAGCTATTTCTGGTACCTCCCAAGATGGGAGGAGGGATCCCAGTTTCTAAAGTCTGCAGGCAGAGTCCGAGCTCCGCTACCTTGGCTCAGCGGGGTCGGGTATTTTCCCCCTGGCCTGCGGCCCTGGGGCGAGCAATGACCTCTTCCCTATGTGTAGCCCGGGACCCCAGGGGGGAGACTTCGGCCGAACCCCGCAGTAGCACGTTTAGGGTCGGGCGCACGGTGTACCCACATTTTAAGAGGGTGATGGTGTTGACAGGAACGGGTGGGTCAGGGTCGAGGGAGGTCGCCGGTGGCCCACGCGTTCTGTCCGCGCCATCAGAAAACTGAGCTTTCCGAAGACTCTAAAACTCCCTGACTACTGCCTCCAGCTGCCCAAAGCCAGAGGAACTAATGTCTGTGCTCCCCCTCGCCCCCAGAAGCTGCATGCATGCTCCGTGACCTTAGTCAGGTGGGGACTTCGGAAGTCCTCAAGGTCATAGAGACCCCTTCCGAGTCTGATTGAATCCAGAAACTCCACCTGAAGCGTCTCTAAAAGGGATGGGTTAGATAAGAAATGGGTGAGCCAGCCAGAAATAAAAACAATCAAAATTCTGGGCGAAATGTTGGCTTTTCGTCTACCCAAAAGGACTGCCTTTGGAAAGGCCGCATTTTCTCTTGTATTTTAGCCCCAGCACACACACAAACTTCGTTCCAGCTGATGAAATTGGAAACCTGTTCTCCCACTGAGGATGACAACCAGGGTTTTAGACGCTGTGGTCCTTTCAGACAGCGAGAGACAACACTGCAGTAGCATTGAAAAACAAAGAGACTGCTTGAGGCGCGTGGACGCAGTCTCTTCTCCAATCCCAGTTTCAGCTTTTCTCGTTTAACTTGTTCATGGACTCCTGAGACCCTGGCTCTCAGCAGGGAGAGTACAGTCACCTACTGCTTTGCTACCTGGGAAACGCTCCTCCCCCACACTTCTGGGGAAAGTATGCATTCTTCTTCCTTACCATAATGCTAAAATATTCTTGATATCACCTTTTTTCTGTGACCAAACATAAAAATGTAGTAAAGAAACAAAACCATAAAACTAAACATCAAAACTCAAAAATCCCATCTTTGAAGGAGAATAAGGTTAACTTTAGATTTTACATAAACTTTAGGGTAACTGAAGTGGCTGCCTAGCTGTAATT